TCAGCAAAAAGGTGAGAAACCAGTCACCCGTGATTATTACCAGCTCACTCATGAAATCGCCAACCACGGGGCAGTGATGGAGCGAGGAGAGACAGCCAGAGATCAGGGGCTGTTTTCTCTCAGATTGAGGCTGAACTCATACACAGAGCGCTGCCTCGTTTAGCCTCACTACCTGATAAACACCAAGAGAAAAAGCAAATTTTAGTGTCTACAATTTGGAAAGAAAATGTGCATGCAAATGTTGGACACCAAAGCCATTCCCATCTTGCACAACTAATACTAGGTTACTCTAAATTCACACTCATGAAATATTTATATTCCACAGAGAAGCTTTTCCAGAGACTACCATTTCCTCCAGCATTGTGTTTATTACATCCAGATTAGATTCAGTGTTTTTATCAGTGTGCAGCAGTCTGTAGTGCACACCAAGCTGATTCATGAGCATTTGTGGGAATTACAAAATATTTTCTCAGTGCCATGCCTGCAGAAAATTAATGTTTTCCCATATACAAACCAAGGTTTTATTAATGCATAACTGAGTGTTAAGAATTTAGATGATCCAGACCATGAAGCATACTTGACCTAAAATAGGATTTACCATTTCTCTGAACCTCAGAAAGTGGGAGCTTTTATTACGTTTGCATATTGCTGCATGTGCGTGTGTATCTGGAAACTCTTTACAAAAGGCACATAAAACTGTAAGGCCCCTCTGAGGTTGGCTATCCGCACTATCCCAATACTCCAGAAACATGGCGTATAAATCATTCAAATCATATCTGTGTTTCTGCTGCATGGCCGCAGGCTTCTGAATCTCACAGCCCGGATAAAGTGCTTCCTCCAGAGTTTCTCACACTGATAACTGTATAAAGTTGGAGTTATAAAGTTACATCTGTGTACAGAGACATTTTAAGAACTGCAGCACTGAAGTCCCCCTTTTAATTTTAGTAATGGTACATTCTAAAGTATATTTTATTTTTACTAAATTAAGGTCCTAGAGACCCTGGGCCCTCTTCAACATCTTAAAAACACACTTAACAGTATTTTATCAACTTGATAGATCACAACTTTTCTGATTTTTTAGAACTGATCATAAAACATGATTTTAAACTAATGACATATTTACTTCTTCTTTTTATCTGCTCTTTATCTGTGTTTGGCATTGAAAGAACTGCCTCCCAAATAATTCTGATGTCTGTTAGAATTTTATAATAGTCAGTCAGACCTCTCTGTGGTCTAATTCACCTGAAACATAAGTAACATCCAGTTTAAAAAAACATTTATTTGACTATGAATGATGTTTTGGAAAACAAAATAAAGATGTGTTTTCATGAATAGCCTAAATAACACATAAAACTTATTTCAGTTATTATTATTTTTTATACATACAGCAGCAGAATTCAGAAACAATCAATGAGGAAGCAAAGCCAAGATCAATAAAAATACGGGGTTACGGGTTGAATAAAATATAATTTAATAAGAACAGAAAACAAAACTAAAAAAGCTGAAAGAAAGATTAATAATTTCTATAAACAAATGAGGTGATTCATTCAACAATAATTCAACATTTCTATCCATATATACATCTATCTAACCTATAAATCTTTATGTTGGCAGCTTAATGCTTAGCAGGGGTATCATATGCTCCTGAGGTATTTTTGCTCTTTGCCGAAAAACAAAACATATATTTGTTGACATATATATTTAATAGGTCAGTTCATCAAGTTGCCATAAACACGACCATTATGTAGAGTTGAGTCTACCGACGAGATAAGCCACAGTGTAAACCAGCTTTCCCGTATAATTTATCACCCACAAGTCAAGCCAGATTAGGCCTGATTGGATCGCTGGTGCCATATGTGACCTACAATCTGTGCTCCGCTTGTACTGCAGGGCGGGAGGGTCAGCGATCTCCCTGGGCAAAGGTTGCCATGGGAACGACCTCTGGATGCTCCTCTCTTGCTCTTTGCAGCCCTCACACATCTTAAGGCAGAATTCTCCAGGATTTCTTTATGTCAGGCCCTTATTCTTCTGCTCTATTTCCTCACTCTGCTCTGCAGTTTCAGCTCCCTCTGTTTCCTCTCTCCACACACACACACACACACATACACACACACACCGACGCTTACAAGCAGTGGCATTTGGATACTTGCATGCATGCTGACACATACATGTCTATGCATAGCCACAAACACACAAGACAACGCCCCCACCCCTGCCAACACACATATGGTACACACGCACTCAGTTACTCTTGATCAAACCAGGATGTTTAGCCAAAGGACATTTCTGCGTACTGGCTTGTTAAATCAAGCAAATGTTCAATTTCTTGTCCAACAAATATTTAACTTGTATGTTACTGTAATCGTTATTTTACGCTATTTTAAATTCCTTATAACCTAATTTATAAGATGACATTTTTTACTTGTTTTGGCAAGTCATCTCAGCTGAACGTCATCTGAGGATCCTTAAGCCTGCAGACAAATTCTGGTTGGTGGTGACAAATTTGTGCTAGCCTGAAAAGAAAGATTCTAGCCACAAGCTATTGGGCTTTGAAAGTTACTGTGTCTGTTCATGCTGAAAGTTCACGTCTGAATTCAACATGATCTGTGATTCACCTCTGAATTTAAAGTGGTACCATGCAAACTTTTAACAGCTTTTTAGTGAGGAGTGCCTAATGGCTTTCAGTTAAACAGGCCGATTTACCGCAGCACCGAACTGCTACCACACACTGCAGGAAAGTACTTCTTAGCCTTTTGTAATGTTCATTAGGTTAAAATTGTGAGATGGTCACATGATAAGAAATACAGAGTTCAGATAAAGGACCCCCAAGAAAAACAAAACTTCTTTTCTTAAGTCTACTGAGATAAAATCTGAAAAAAAAAACAGTAAGAAAGCTGAGAGAGATCTTGTTGCAGAGTCATTATATTGCAGTGAACACGAGAGAAAATATAATTGGATCCCTCTGGAGATTCCCAGTTCCTCTCCCTCCTTCCTCTCAGGGTTGAGGTTAAATACAAAGGAAATACAATAAAGAGGTAATATCCCTCAGAGCAGCAACCAAGTTAAATTAACCATTTTTTTACGCTTTCTAACAGTGAAAGAATCTACGTCTAAATCCCATGAAGTCATTAAATGACTGCAGGTTTTTTTTTATAGATCTCTATTGAACTGTGCATGTGTGAAATACCTGTACAGTAGATTATATCTTTAAAGGCCAGTCTTGGTATAAAATCACTTACAAACATGGCTAGAGATATACTGATGTACAGACATGCAGTATAAGTAATATACTACTGTTACAGTATCAGAGAGTTTAAACTATTCCTTATAAAATCAAACTAAATAGAAAATTATTGTAACTCCAAAACAAATTCTATAATTTGTAATGTGAGCACAGAAATTCAAATCTAATGACGTCCAGCTGATCCCTATAACCAAATGCTACGATGGATAAAATATACATGACAGTGAAACACAGTGCCATTTAAAAGCGATAACATAAAAAATACATTCTCTAGAACCGTGCTGCTGTACAAAACGCAAGGCAAGCCATTCATATCACACGAAAGCTTCATAGACTCTCACCATAATACATTTTCTGTATGCAAAAAACATTTTTATGAAGGACGGCAACTTGAGTGTGTCAATAAAATTCATTATGCCGCGGTGAAGCATTTTAGAGAACTGCCGCCTTGCACACAATATCTGAATGAACTAAAATCGCAACCATTACTGTGGCCAAACAACCTCAGTCATACAAAAAAATTTCACCTGTGTGTGTGTGTGAAGGGAGAAAAACAACTCCTCTTTCAGGCAGCGCATAGAAATAGACATATTAGACGGGTCAGCGTGTCAGCATGCTTTGTGTGCCCTGAGGAAGGAGGCAGTTCTCTGAAACGCGTTGGCACAATAAACTTTATAGAAGGAATCAAGTTGCCGCCCTGAATATTTTTTTCTCTCTCTGTGCAATCTAGTATTTCCAAAGACCTCAGACCCCTTCAGTGATATAGGACTTATGTTTGAAGACTTTGAAGACTGTTTGAGACATCAAAAACTATTTACCTCCAACATAAAAACCTTTAGAAATAGCCAGAAAAAAACAAACTCTCTAAAATGTAGAGACATGAGTTTAAATAAAGTGACTTTTATGCAACACTGTGCACTCAAATCTCACTAGTACTAGTACACATATACTCAAGGACTTGCTACCACACATTCAGAATGAATGCATTATCTCTACAGAACTGATTGCTATGTTATTGAGTCTGTAAACAAATGAAAAGATTTGAGATGATGTTCTTATCCATGACTGGGAAACACCCCACACATCCCAATGAGTTTTCATTGATTTCACAGGTTTTTGGGGGGATTTTTGTGGCCTAAAATGTCTGATTTTCGGAACGCAGATTTTCTAGAAAATTGCGATGCATGCTGCGATATCCTTAGGCCTTTTGCAATTAAATTGCAGGAGAAAGTGAAGATTTAATTGTGTGAAATGAAAAGTATAGTAATAGTTTTAGTAATAGTATATTTTGTTTGTTTGTATAATTCATCGAAAACTTGTTCCAGTGAGAGTAAAATTGCGCTGTTTGGAGCGTCCTAATAACCTTTGCCAAGGTTAGCTCATCAGATGTCTGGAAGGTCTGCATCTTCACAACTGGAAACGAGGACGTGCGTTTGGTGATGTATGATTCAAAGTCTTGCGGACGATTCTACAACGATTGGTCAAATTTGTTGAAAAGTTGCGGTGACTGGACGAAATTACAAGGTCACGCAGAATCCACAGGGATTGGTTGAATTTGCATTGCAACATTACAACATTCCTGTGACACCAGAACGATTGGCACAGAAAGTAGAAAAAAAATGCTATTATGTTGTCATGCTAACAATGTCCACAGAATAAATGAGCTCTGATCAGGTTTTCACTTATTTCACTGAATTCTTTGACAGTAAATAAATTTTTGTTGAATATCTAGTTTTAAAACACAAATGTATCACCATTTAGTCCTTGCAAAAGTCCTAACACTTACCTGCCAATGGGAAGCACACACTGCCTCTTGTAAGGGTATTAATGTAGTACTAGACGGGTCAGTAAACTTGACACCGGGCCATTCACACACAGAGAGCTGGCACGTACCTCAGAGTTCTGAGTGGAAGATCAGAGTTCAGAGACTCAAGACAATACGAGGACTTTCTAATCCCACCTGGTTACTTATTTTTACGTCATTCACAGCGGACTCGATCAGGGATCTCTGTTTGCCAAGCAGGTCAACATGAGTAGTGGCGGGTTTCAGAGGGCTTAACCAATAACTCTACACCAGTTCCAGTAAGCCAGTCGAGCTGGGTCACGATGAAAGAGTCTGTCCCCACAAAAAAAGTCCAGAGTGACAGGCAAAGAAAGAGGAATCCTCTTAGTGGTAATATCCTGTTGTGCACCTCCATCTGTTGCTCTGTGATGGCGGTTAGTCTAGATGGAGAGAGAGGAGGAAAAAGATCAGGATGAGTATCACATACTGTATTCTGATTTTTCTTGAATGGAGAAAGATTTGAGACATAATGGAGTGATTCTTGTCACATAATTTATTTACAATAATCAAAATCCAACCCAATATTCCCTATATTTAATTTGAATTTATTTTATAGGGACAAATTTGGCTCTTTATACGGCCCAAAGCAGTCATTTTCTGAAATGAGACATGAGAGCTTTTATTTATAATCTACTTTAAAAGGAGATCACTCTTTTTTAAACAGCAAAACATTTTAAATACTCGTGTTTAGCACAAGCTCATACATGACAGGTCTGAGCATTACATCAAAAAGTGAGAATAATAAATAAAATAAAATAAGATGATGGTTTTTCTTTTGAACATCACTGACAACACCACCATGAAGATTTGACTGTGAAAGATGTTTTTCTTTATTGTACTTTTCTACTTTTTTTGCAGTATTGTTTGGAGATACATGAATTTATGGTGTCTTGTCTATGCCACGATAATAATAATTATAAACTCCTAAACTATTGTGTACAAGCGAGTAGACTCATAATATATGCATTGTACGGAAATGACAGGAGGATTTATATAAAGCTTCCATACATTCATAAAGCATTACCTCTTTTCATTCAAAGAAACTCTACAAATATGCCACTACAGCAGTATTTGCCCTGGGTCCAATTAAATAGCTCACATTTTCTCCCTTAAAGAAAGCAGTTTATCTACCAGGTTAGATCTGCATTATTCCAAAGCTTCTTCTAGAGATAAAAACTGCTGAGGATGTTTTAACTCTATACTTATCTACAACCAGGACTTAGCTATTCCTGAACAGTCCCAAAATACAATGCAAGTTCCTAGCACGGAAGACATAAGTGAACCCATACATGAACATTTCATTTCAAATTAAAATCATTCAACATTTTTTAACATTTCATAACTGTACTCAAGTCTGTTTCTATTATAACAAGCAAACTATCCACCATCACAGGAGAATGACTTGAACACATGTAGACTGCTGCTCAGTATGCGCTTCGGGAAAATTTATCTGTGGTTCTGAAAAGCAAACCACAGCGACAACAGTACGCAGCATCAACACACAGCGGCTGATTTATGTTAACGTTTCATATCAATTAGTAGAGAGCTTAGACTGGATGTTAGCATCCAAAACCAAAGCCATGATTGATGACTGCCATTTTATCAAGGCATTCATTTCGTCATGACTGTCAGCTGAATGACTTTTTACTGGGCCTCTGTTTTATGGCAATAGTGCTTAGATTTATTATGATGATAAAAAGTGTTGTCTGCCCTTCGACAGGCGAGCACCATTCAAACACATTTCTTTTTAACTATCGTGAAAGCGGGTGGCCCGCCATAAACCAAAGAAGACACTGATTTCAGTCTTCCCCTCACCTCATTTGTCGTGCAAAACACAAGTTAGAGCTTAAAAAATTAAGTGATTTAATTAAAAAGAAGTGAAAGTTAAGGACTGGTGCTAGCATCCCCTTTCAGGTCCCAGCAGTATACTAGTGAAAGTTCTACAGTGTCTGTAAAGTTCACTTAACAAGAAAGTAAATTAAATCCTGCCAAGGCTTTTGGTCTATTTAATTAAAGCTGGAGCAACTTAGTGGGATTGAATTAAATTTTTGGCAAGGGTAAACCAATACGCTGGGAAGGTGGTGGGTGGTTGGAGTGCAGTGGGGTGCAGTAGACTATTCATGAAAGATAAGCAGTGATCTTTTTTTCCCCGGCTTCATTCAATAAATATTTTCAATTTCACAACAACTGAGAATGTCTTTGTGGTTCCTCTGTGGCAGTGCCGTTTAATTTCGCAAAAGGAAAAGTAGATAAAGGTTTGCCTTGTCTACTGAGAAATTAAAATAAAAATAAAAAAAACACTTAAAAACCTGGATTATACAAGTCAGGTTTGGTTCCTCTGCTCTTTAGAGTTCAATCCATCCGACTCTGTCTCTGCCTGCTTGTGAGAACGTGGTCTCATCTGAGGTTAATCCACGTGCAAAAGGTCTCTTTAGATTAGAGGCGTCCGTAGTTCTTTCTGAGCACAGGGTCAGGGATCGCACACCAACTTTTATGGAGAGCAGGCCATTTTATTTCCCTCGCTCTTTATCCAGCTGCTGATGCCGACTGGGTGCAATACTGCACCGTAAGCCCTTTAAGGCTCAAGGTGAAATCGATTCCAGCCCAGAGTGGCCGTTTTGAATGGGCTTAAGTTCAAGCTAAATAAGAATAGCTTATGAACTGCGGGAACTCATTCTCACCCTCATCTACTTCATTTCATCCTCGCTGACAGATAATAGTCTGTGTTTAACTTAAGATAATGGGGCTCAGCGGTGGGATGGGGTCAGAATTTTTTGTTTTATTTTAAAGTTGAAATCCATTTAGGTGAAGATCTCATATGACAACACCTCTAAATCATTAATGCCATTTCAAATATGAGTTTAAAAAACAATTCTACACCAGTAAACACTGCTGTGTGGTGAACTTTCTCTCTCTTTCTCTGCACCCATTAAAGGTACTTTTTGTTTACTTTATGTAAAGTTATAATTTACCCCAAAGCCACATCAGCTGCCTGAATGAGCAAAAAACTCCTTGACACTCAACTCAAAATAAGAATGACTAAAATAGTCTTTTTATTCCAGAGTTCATTCAGAGTTTGATTATTTAATTGAAAATATTTGAAATATGTAACAAGAAAAATAAACCCTTATCCTTGGTTCAAAAGTGTTCAATAACTATTTCATCTAATTTCTAAATCTGACTACACTAAATAATAGTTTTCTATTTGCAAATGAGTGTTAATGGAAACTAGTGGCCTTGAATATTAATAGTAATAATATCACTCAGAATAGAAAAGAAAGTTTTGTAGTAAATTTCCAGCATGTTCAATAATAAGAAAAGTATGAATGTTCATCTTTTTAACTCTGGGTGGCAGTGTTGATGCAACCACACATTACACGGCTTTGTAGAGGAAATCCACTACTTCTCTTCTCATACAGATCAAAACATTTAAATTATTTCTTTTTCTGTTCTGCTGGTGATACAGTAATTGATTTTGTTATATAATAATCTCTAACAAAATATGTTAAATTTCAATTCCTCTTTTAAACTACTGCACTGAAAATGTTCTAATAAGCATCATAACTACAATCCCTGAATATTGTGTGTATTGGTCTGAACAGCTTAATATGTATATACATAATCATATTGATGTATTCAGTATCAATATATAGTTTGAATTCAGCTATATGGATTTAGTGTTGACTTTGAAAAATATTTCTGATAAATCAGATTAATTTACACATTGTCAAAATAAAATAAATGTTCCTTCTTCTGCAGGTTTGACACATTTATAAAAGAAGCTTCAAGCCATGTTAATTATATATTTATAACTTAAATGCAATACGATATTATCACAGTTGAAGAAAAGTTGCTATGAATTTTGCTGGCTACTTCAAATTGCATGAAATTGTTATTATTAAAATTAATGTTATTATTATTATTGTTATATTATTATTATTATTATTATTATTATTATCTTATAAAATGTAATTACACTCAGTTATAGTGAAAATCCTAATGTGTTTATGTATCTGATTATATCAAAAAATGCATCTATTTCGTGATAAATTCATGGTTACATTTATAATGTAAATGAGAATATAAATGCTTAAACAGAAATAAATTAATCATGGTAATGTTACTGAATTGCAAAATATATAGAAAACGTTTTCTTTTTGCAAAATTATCATTTTGTAAGACATATAGTATCAACGTATGTCATCTAATCATTATTCTTATTAATTTTTTGGTTAAAAGCATAAAAACACAAAAAATAAATAAATAAAAATGACGATGCGGCATTTTTAAAGATGCTAACATGCTAAATATTTCAAAGAAACATTACTAGCTCTGCATTAATGCTATGCAGCTTTACAGCATGCCGCTGGTCAAAATAATGCCCTCACATCATGTATTCAGTGATTACACAGGCAAACTGTATGCTCCAATCTCTTAAGCATGTCGGAGCTAAAATCAATTTCTCCTTGGTGCACCTTGAGTGCATTATTAGGAGGCAATTTAACAGGTAATTTGTTGCACGTATTATGAGATATGTTTGGTGTTTACTGTAGGCTGCTGAGGCCAGTATTACTGTAAAACTGTGCAGTGTTAGGGGATGTTATAGGTGCTGTACAGCGCTGTATGTTTTGCGTTTGTTGGATTAAAGAGTCACAGAGGAACATGAGAGGATTTATGCCACGTTCAGACATCTCTGCTTTGCATTACATATATTTTATTACTATGCAGCCATTATAACATAGCGTGGCAGAAAGCTCTCTGTGGGCAATATTAGAGGAGTATTAATATCATTTCTTCGACATCTTTCACTTCTTTTCTGGCTCAAGTCAATAGTGAGCTGGTATGGAACTCATTATTGTCAGGGAAAAGCTCCTTTCTCTGTGCCGTTTTGTTCCATCTGTGTTGTAGTCACCTGAACATGATCTGAAGTCAGCCAGTCAAGTGACCTGGAATCAATACAGTCAAACTCAGTGGAGGCAAATAAATCAGCCTGGCTCATTTAACCCATGAGAGTCCTGCTGCTTAGCTGCAGCGGTGCAAGCACGTAATAAGAAAGGCATGTTTGATGACAAATAATGTATTCTAAATTCTTGTTTCTCGTCCCAGCTTTAGTGACTCCATACTTTATAGCCACGAGGCGTATCTCTCTGTGCATGTCTAGTCGCTGTTTTGTGTATTGTAAATCCTAATGGGTACTTTTTTTTTCATCCCCCCCTGATGTCCGTCACTTTCTTTGCACAAAAAGCAAGTTGACAGTTTTGTATACATTGACATTTTTTTTTATCAAGCTTTCTCTCTGGGTATCTTTGTATCTTAAACAAAGCAGTGATTTTTTTGTTGGCATATCTGTAATTTCTGCAGCTGCTTCAGAGTATCCCTACGGCATCTGTCTCCATGCCTGTCATATAAAAACCAGTCTGTGTTTTATTCTTTGCCCATCATAACTCTGTGTATAAAGGAAGTGGAATTTTACTACCAGCTTCTGGAGCAGGAAATTGGTTTCACACTACTCTTAAGAAATTTCAAAAAATATGGCTATATGGCTTGCAAGATGCACCGTAAATTCAGATGTCGTTTTATGCCAACCGTCACTGACAACTTGGACCTACTTGGAAAAGAGTAATCCTATTAAAACAGCAGAAAACCCATAAACGTTGAATGTGTTATGATTATGAATATGCATATTTATTTTACGTATAGCATTTTTATTGATTGTTGGAAAATTATTGCCATTAATGTTGCTGCCAGCCTCCATTGTGCCAACTTAAATCAACTTAGTGCAAACACAGCTCGATTTGAATCATTTTCAAAGATTAATTGTGACATGTCTCAAAGTACTTTGAGCCAACATCACATCAGCTGATTATGATTTTATGATGATTCATGCACAGGAAGGAAAGTTTTGCATTCTGGAGGAAGTTGCATTTCACTTCAGCTTTGGTTCTTTGGCTCTGTTATTGGAAAATAACTGCTGTTCAGGTCTACCTAATTGACAACTTGGCCTGTTCAGTCACATGATGCCTTCCTTGTGATGCATGACTGATGGTTTGCTGAGTCTGAGAAGATGAATAAATTGAATAACTGAGTACATATTTCTAAAGCAGCTCCTGCTTGGCTGATCAAATATAAAACGTATCAAATATAAACATTAATACTTATTATTGATTTCAATTGATTTTCATATCATCAATGGTCATCTCTTTCAGATATAAACCGTGAGCCACTTAAGTAACAGTAAAGTAACTTCTTTATTGTATAATTTTTTGTTTCTTGCCAAGCCATAAGTTGACCTAACAATTATTTTGAATCACTTAATGAATGTTTTGTAGTGAGTAACGCAAACCCAGCTATTATGCTGACTATTATAATCAGAATGAATTGTAACTCCTCATATTATTTTATTATTTATTTAGACTTCACTTTGATATCAGACTGCAGTATTTTATCAGACTGCACTATTTTATTAGACTGTAATATTTCACAGCAGGTACCATAACCAAGACCAGTTCCCATAGTTTGTCCTACTGTTTGTCTTTATTAGCAGGACCCAATGGTCAAGCTCTAAAACATCACTCCATCCTTGTGATGGGAAAAAGTACTATTTTATGTATAAACGCTATAAAATCAATAAAATATTTAATTCAAATTTTATATATAGCTTACAAGGTCATTTTTAAAATAGTTTCAATCTTCAAACAACAGCAGTGTAAACAATTACACATATATACTCTTGCTAGAGAGTGATCAAATGAGTATTTTTACATGCTAAACAACTAAATAAATTAATTATTAATTCATATCACCAACAGTAGAATGTATAAATATAAATAAATGATATCGATATAGATCAATAAATCAATAATTTAAAACTCCACACCTACAATTGGTTGAAAAAAATGAACAGATTAAGACTAACAATAATAACATTTTATTAGAGTATATAATTGTAATAAAAATATGAATACACTTGACATTTTTTACAGTTATGCATAAATTTTCCCAGAAGAAAAAAAAAAAAAAAGATTCCCCAAGACCTGGCGGGAGGTTTAGTAGGAAAAAGGTAAAGTAATAACACATTTAAGTGTAAATCCTGGAAGTTTAAATGGAAAAGAAAAATGTTTAACTTACTTTAATTGTCCTTTCGTGTTCGACACCTGTGACAGCGCCAAAAGTCCCATAACAGCCTCACAGAGAGCCTCATAGAGAGCAGACACGTTTGAGCTTTGTCTGACAAAAGAATAACCAGTATTTCCATTTGGAGCCGTGTGGCAGTGAGAATAAGTTGCTCCATCTTTTATAAATGCCCCACATGGTCCCAAAACACTTAATTATCACTAGGTAAGGCCGTGTGGACTGTCCTCCTCGGTGATTGACAGCGGGGTACATCGAAGTGGCTCTTGAAGGGGATGAAGTTATCCTCTAGACGTGCGGCTGCATCAATAATTCAAACATTTTAAACCACCTAGCATTAAATATACACACAGATATATTGTATATATTCTGTGTGAGGCTGGCTGGATTAACGTGGCCCTGAAATGCGTAGCTGCGTTTCTGCGTTGCTCGGTGCTCCCCTCTGTCTGTCGTTTTTTTGGTTTCGCCCAAACTTGGTTCAGATTTGAGTTCGCTTTCCCAGCTATCTGGGATCGCTCTATTGGAGGTGAAGGACCGCCTGTCCCCTCTCTGCCTTTGCTGTCAATGGCTTTCGGGACGTATTTTATTTGAATGTCTGGGCGTTATAAGTGACCAATGATGGATATTCTATGGATATTATGGACCATACCGGCCGTAATAGCTGTTGAAGGTAAGCTACTGCTTTCATTAGCGGTTAAAGCCGCATCATCTTGCCGGCTTTGAGTTTTGAGACAAAGCGCGTGAGTGTTTGCTCATTGTAATCATAGCAAGGCTCACGGGGAAATTAATTACACCTCAACCCCCCCACCCCCCACCTTTAATATCAATTAATGTGTTGTAACATGGCGCTTTATTATTTTTTATAGTGCTTCAGTGTTAGCGCAGCTCAAAGCAGCAGGCAGAGGGATGGATGATGGTGGGACACAAAAACACGCTCCCGCATCTCCGCAGGTATCCGGATGCTGGCGTGCGCTAATAGCGTTAATTACGGAATAAAAATGGTCATGCTTTTCATGTATAAGCAGGTTAGAAAACGTTAAATCCCAGTCAGGTAGGTCGTCATCCTGTGTGTCCGTGGAGGTGTGTCACCGGTTTCGTCTCAGTTGGTGACAAAAAAAAATAAAACAAGAGGACGTCTCTTTAAAGCCTTTTCTCTCCCCCAGCAGGTCTGAGACTAAATGCGCAAATATGCATGCTGGAAATTGTGTAGTGTAACTTACAAAAGGTCTATCTGTATGCTCCCCCAGTCATTTGTACGCAAAGCTTGGCTAAAGAGTAATAGGCAGCAGGCAGGCAGCGTGGCTCAACACACAATGAGACAGGTTGAATGGTGAATAATAATAATCTCTAATAGTGTTTACAGTAGTATGTCTTTGCTGAGTTACTAATATAGTAGTCTTATTGTGCTTATTGTTACAGTATTAAGACCTCTGGTACCTTTGGGCACTGTATAATTGTCATATGTGTCCTTTTTTTTTTTTTTCATGGTTCTTTTTAATTTAGGTGGATTCAGTTTGAGCTTTAAATTATAATTTGCAGGTGATTTCATGTCACTGGACTCATTTTTTGCCCTGTGAGAGGACAGGGGACATTCTGCACACTGAAGAAAGGAAAGTGTCAGCCCAGTCATACATCTATTCAGGCTATTTTTAAATTTTTTTAGGATGTTGTCAGAAAACAAACATGTATTCTTCCTCTGGTCAGTTTAACTAAACCTCATAATTACAGGTGGAGCTAAGGAAGTATGTAAAAACTCAACCAAATGCAACCGCAGGATAAAACAACAAAAAAGAAAGACAGTGGGAAAAAAAAAATATTTAGCTGCTTGTTTAGGGTAAGATCTTTTTGTACATGTATACCATCACCAATGTGTGTAGCAAAGGTTGAAGGACCTGTCAGGTCCAATGTAGGACTGGCACAGACTTCGACAAACGTCATGCGTATTTATGTAGACTTGTGCTGACTGCTCCGGTTTATGGTTTCAATGTAGTCACACATCCAAGACCTAAAAAAACAACCTTGAAGGCTTACATTATAGCTCACATTGACAGCGTTAAAATTCGTGTCACAGCTTTGAATTTTTTTATTTAAGGTTTGATCCCATCATTCAAGGACAACCTTATTATTTTGGGAAATTATATTTAGCCTCAGCACTAAAATACATCATACAAACACAGGCAACAATGTCTCATACAATCCATACATTGTTTTCATTTTTATTTGAATGTATAAAAAATATATTGCCCAATTTACGCCTGTATCTCAGAACATTTCTCAAGCATAATGAAACCAATCAGATGTGTTAATATTCAAACTGCGGAAATTATACTGTCAGGTCCTGCATCTTATTATTTATTTTTTTTACTGAATATTAATCAACACTGAATACTAGATTTAGTTATAATACATTCAGGGGAAAAACACACATTACAAATCTCATAATATGTAACTGTATATCATCATCCCATATATATATATATATATATATATATGTACATAATACTCAATATGATTTGTTATCTTTTAATTACTGATATCATCACGCTTGATTGCTATTTTAATGGTTATTTATTTTTTGATTTTATCCGTGCTGTTCTGTCCAAGAGCAAGAAACCACAGGATGTGAAAAATGCCAAAAATAACAGCAGATTCACACTACAGTGTTTCCACTTCCCGTTGTTTTCTCTTTCTCCCTTAAATGTAATCATGGCCATGGTTACTTGCTTGTCTACATGTAAAATCTACTGTGAAGCGTATGTGTAAGCTGAGAGTGCCTCAAATACCAATCGGCACGGTTCCTCAGATAGTTGTTTCAGAGTACTGAAGTACACTTCTTGCGTCTTTAAGATATGATATTCAGTGTTACACTAGATACACAGTTTGCATGTTGCAGTACCTTTCGGGCCTGTTGGGGTTTTTACTTTTTGATTCGGAAACCAGCCACTACTGTCGCCAACCCAATACAGCCCCCCCCTCCATTTTACCCTGTGAATCACCCTAGTCGACTATCCAATGAAATTGCAGGGATGGCTTACGTATGAGAAATAAAGGGTTGAAAAAGAGGTCACTGCAGCTGTATTCTGAAAAAAAAAACATCCCAGCATGCAACAGCAAAGAAACCCTCTAGTGGATCGTTTTGACACGTTTAGTGCCGGGACACTACATTGCCTCCATTGTTATTTTCGTTTAATAGAGAGTGACGTCTTCGCATAGTTTGATTTTTACTTTACTGACGAACGTTACTTTCGAAATGTACCATTGCATCATATTGTTATCCGTCGATCGCTGTATTTACTGTGGGAAAGGTGAATTGAGTGTCGTAGTGATTACACATTTCTGAGTATACCTACTTGTTATACATATAATCAATGAATCAGGCAGAGAGCATACTGGAGAGGATTAGAGGATTAAAAGTGGGGCCAAACTTAAGAAAATCCAAGCTGTGTCCCAAGTATCCATTTTACGAATAGTTTCAACACTGCATAGCGTGTAAAGAACTCGGGCTACAACCCTGTGTCTGTGTTTAGTAACGTCGCCATGTTGGACAACTATAAATGCCATTTGACCATTTTTCAAAGGCATTTAATTTACCCTGTGGAAAACAACTCTATATTGCTGATTACTGTTAATGTAAGCTGCCATTGATGTCGCCTCTTATTGGTTTAGCTAACAGGAACAGACAGGCTCTTTCCGAAAATTAATGGAGGTAGTACTGCCAAGGAAATTAGCTTAGCTATGTCAAACATGTCTATGAAAAAACACTGTGGATTTATCCCTTCATTAGTTTACCCATTCATTGTCATCAGTGCTTAGTTGACAGCCACAACAACGGCGCTCATCTAATTCTGTTGAGTGGAAATTCTCAGATTCATCCCCGGCCATAAAATTGTAGTAGCCTGTATTGTTCAGAGGAGATGAAATTTACTAGACGGATCATTTGGCTTTTCCGTTTTCGCCCCCCTTCTGTTGTGGTATTACAGTTTGCACTGTGCAAACACACAGCAAACGTTTTCCGGGAGGACTGGTGTGGCTGTGATGCAATAACAAACCTCCTACAGGACTTGTATGCAGGTTGTTGTTGGGGTCGGCAGGATAATAGATCACTTTGATACAACATTTTCTTTTTTGTCTTTGAAGGAAACATAATGGGACAGAAACCACAGTAGAGGATGGTGAAGTGGGGTAGAATGAGATCACAGCATGGAGTCTTTAAAAAATGTCTAGCAGATTTGATTGAATTTCAATATGCGCTGCATTCCTTCAGCGCTCTGTTGAGCACTGGAGCCCAGTCAGTCGAAAGCTGGCAAACACCGGCCAAGTTGATGTTTTACATTTTGAAGTTTTTTTGTTTTGATTTAATTTAGTAAATTAGATATATCTGTATGTTGCGTAACCCTTTCAGTGCCATTTTTCTCACACGATATAAGGCAGTCTTGACAGTTCAAGGCACAGTATGGTTGTTAATGTTTTGAAAATCCTGCCAAGTTTGGTAAAGATGCTTTCATATGTAAATTCAGTAGCTGTTTTTGACCGGAATTGTTTTGTAAGGAATAGACGTGTGAGTGTAACATGGAAGCATTATGTTTTGTGGAAGAGTAACAAAAGACAGACGGAGGCGGGCTCCGAAATGGGATTAGATAAAGGTAAAATGAGCGACCGTATACAATCCGGTGTTTTCTCAGTCCACCCAATGAGCAGATGCAGGGAGCTGGCCTGCACGCCAACCGCCACAGTAGGCTTTCACAAAGAATCTGTCTCTATTCAAGCCTTAATCCATGCTGCCGAGGGCCCGGGCATTGTCACTTTGCATGCAAAATTTCAATTAGTGCTGGTACCAGTTGTTTCACTTGAAGGGGGGTGTCACATTTCAGAGACATCTATAGCTACCTTTAGGGTGAGATTAATGCAGAAGTGTCACTGCTTTGCTTAAGAAAATCTTGCATTGCATAAGGATACTAGTACTGAGCTGCTATGCTTTGTTATGGACACTGTACGTATCAGACCTAGATCATCACGGTCAAATAGGAGTTAAAGAATGCTGTTATACAAAGTTTATTATCTAAAAGTTAAGCAGGAAAAAAGTAAAGAGCGATGGTTCCATTAAGTTGGATTTGTTAAAACATTTGTTAAAACATTCACACGTATGATTTCAGCGTTGTAGGTTTCTGCCCCAGCCGGCTCTGCAAGCAGAATAGTTGTGTATGTTGCTCCTGGCTCCAGCTTGTTAAACCAATTTAACCAAGGATTCAGTTCATGACATGATGGACTGTTTGACGCTCTTTCCATGCTTTCAGCTGTTTGACTCTGACTGCTGCGGTTCACCATCTTGAGCCAACTCCTCATTCTCTCCTGCCTATAACTGTTGAGTCAAGTTTGCTTAAGTTAACTTCCGTGAGTGCGCTGCCAAGTTAAGAGTGGAAGCGTCTATGGATCATTTTACCAAAGTTTTGTATTTAACTACCACACTGGGAAGTACTATCATACATTTAAAAATACAGACAGTATTAAATGATAGCTTAGGAAGCCAAAGCAATATTCATCTTCATCACGCTGCACAACCTCTGCAGACTGTTCCTTGTGGCTTAACACTTAATATTATTATATGGGCAAAGATACTTTGCTTCTGGTACGTATTCTCTTAGTTTTCACATGCCCTCATTTTCATATACT